TTCCTCAGCCCCAAGAGTAAAAGGTGTACTCAGGACCAGGAGATGGAGGAGAAACTTCACAGCCCCACCCAGTGCCATGTACACCATCCCCACCTTCTAGACTCCCTCCTGTGCTACGTGCAGCACCCCTACCTTCTAGACCACTGAACCCTGAACCCAGCTGACTGGCTTGGCCCAACTTCAAAAAGCAGGTGGCGGTGAACCTCAACCAGAAGGGGGGGGCGGGGTGGTGGCATCTGGAACAGGAATCCTTGTCCATCAGCTCAAAGTTGGCACAAGCCCAGCCCAAGGCTGCTCCCTGACCCACCGGCCCCTCCACCTCCATCCCCAGAGCTCTGCCCCACTGCACCCCAGTTCTGGCTCCAGCCCATACCCTGTAGGAGACGCAGACCTTGGGAGCTGCTGCCCTCCTCAGTCCTCAGTACCAGTGAGCTGAGTCCAGGGCCCAGAGCGGGGAGAGGAGCCTGACTCCTGGCCCCATGTCGGCCTTCTCCATAACTGCAGCCAGGAGCAAAGGGTTCCTTCTTTTTCCTTCCTCCTGCTGCTCGGCTTGGGGGGCAGTGGACAGGGGACAAGGAGAAAGTGACCCTCTCTCATTTCCTTCTGGTTTCCATGTCTTAGGGTCCCCATGGGCCAACCCTGGCCCAAGCAGGGATGCTGAGCTGCCACACTGGCTGACTCCACACCAGCGGCTGTCAGTCACATGCCACATCTGACCTCACTGATACCATGGCCCTCTCCTTTCTCCTCCCCACCTGACCCCCAAGGCGAGACAGCAGGACTGGCAAATGAAGCCAGAAGTGAGCAACAGCTCACAGCTCCCAGGAGCCAGTCCTGGTCCCTCACTGACCATCTCACAAGAGGACACCCAACCACCAGAGTTGGGAGCAGCTTTGAGGCTCATGTGCCTACCAGTCCCACCCATTACCCTGCTAGTTCTCTCTGCATGGCTACAGGATAGGAACTGCCCAGTGCTGCCCAGGTCCAGCCACCCAGCGACTCAGTCTGACTTCAGCAGCCAGTGGCACAGCAGAGCTAGAGCACACAGAGACACATGTGCACAGGGACACACACGCATGCATATACACATGTGCACAGAGGCCCTGTCCTGGCTGCCAAGGGCTCTGAGACAACCCCCCCAGTACTCCCCTAGCCCCCCAGTCCTCACAGGTGTGCACTGTTCTTCACCTGGCCACTCTCACACAGACACCCAGGTCCACACAACACACGTGGGACAGGCGCTAATCCTACATGCCTATAGTCCCTCTCTGAGAGCCACTACAAGGCAACAGGAGGGGACACAACCATCGGGAGGACAGTCATTCCCATAGTCTCAGCACATGAGAAACCCAGGTCCCAAGGCTGGGGTCACAGCGGCCATGAGGCTCAGCCCCTTGGAGGGGGCCCAGAAGCTGTGTTTGGGCACAGCACTGTCACTGCCAGAGGTACCCCAGGAGCCTGGGGAGGACAGGGAGGCCTCTCCTGCCCAGATTCCAGAAGGCAGCTGGAAGCCCCCAGGGGACAGGCCAGGAGACAGATCCTGCAGGACTGCTGGCCACCACTGTGAGGGTTTTCAGAAGTGTCCAAAGTGCAGGTGGCCGGAGTAAGTCCTTGTCTCCACTAACCTAGCACAAGGTAGAGTCCCTCTGGCCTCTGCTCCACCCCAATCCCTGGCCTTAGGTGCTACTCTGAGGTCAGCTGCCTTACATTTGAGGCAGGACCCCAGTGGCTGCCAGCTGGGCCTCCTCTGGCTTGGGGGTCCCTCAGCCAAACTGCAACCCAGGGCACTGAGCTCTGGTGACCTGCCTCACCTCACCACCACCTACTGGCTGCCCATTGGGCTCCCCAAAATGATGTCCAGGGGGCTGTCTGAGCCCCTGTGGGCTCTCTCCCCTCCCTGCTCCCCCCCACTGGCTCAATGAGGTGCCTGCCTCCTAGGTCCCACCCCAATTTGCCTCCATCTCAGCCCCAGATTAGGCAGCAGCAGAGGCATCAGAAGGATGCTGGTCACTGTGTGGTCACTTCATGCCAGCACTATGCCTTCCCTGTAACCGGCAAGCACATCTCAGCCATCTTTGCCTCTCAGACCTGATATGTGGCCAGTGTCCCCTGCCCTCTCAGAAGCACTTCTGCTTAAGCGTGGCAGTTCCAGCAACTCCCCAGAGGGCCAGGGCTCCTGCCCAGTGCGGGCCAAGCCCCTGCCCTCCGCAGAGTTGATAATGGGCTTGGCACCTGAGAGATGCCAGGAGCTCAGCCCAGACTTCCGTTTCCTTCAGCTCTGCCCACCCCCACCTCGGAGGTCCCTTCTGACCTGGCACCAGGGCTGCAGAAAGGCCCAGAGCCTTCTAGGCCCTTCCTGGGTCTGCCTCCATCACCCACCCCAAAAGGGGGCCCAGGGCTTAGGACCCCCCCCCCAGAGACCACACCCCAGCCAAGATGATCCCTCCCAAGAACTCTGATGGGAATAATGAGATGCGCCCCCACCTCTGTCCTCAGGCCTTCTGGACCATCAGGGTATGCCCTTCCCCACCCCAGGAATATGCCCAGCATTCCTGGTGGGGGACAATGCAGCCCCAGCCCAGCCTGCTGGCCAGCAGAATGGACATAACGGGGCAGAGGACATAACCCTGGCTGACCTATAGCATCTGAGTGAGAAGGGTTCCCAGAGGACATGAATTTGCAACAGCAACCAGGAACAGGAGGATGAGGGGACCGCACAGCCCCTCAGGGTCTCTACCTAGGGGCTTCCTTCACCTCCAGGCAGGGGCTCTTTCTCACACTCATCCTGGCTGTCATCAGGCTGACAAGTTTCCCCAGGTCGACCCCAGTTCTAACAGGGCCAAGTGGTAAAGTGTGTAAGGACAACTTCTGGGGCCAACAGGCTCTGCGGGGTCACACTAAGTCCGACCCACCAACAGTGGTGGCCCAGGAAAGCCCCAAGATAGGTTGGGGTCCCTTGGAAAACCCCTGGTGTCCTTGAGTAGGGTCCCCAGAAAAAATACAGGATACTCAGTCAAATAAGAATTTCAGATACACAACAAAAACCTTTTAGTTTAAATAGGTCCCAAATACTCTACTAAAAAATGATTTGGGGCTCATCTGCAGTTCAGCTTTGACTGAGCATCCTGCACCCACTAGCCTGGCCCTCTCCCTCCTCCTGGGGACCTGGCTCCCAAATCACACTGCTGCCTAGCTTCTGGGTCATCCTCTTGCTCTTCCTCCATCAGGTGTTGAGGGGCTCACCCATGGAGGGTGCCCCTGGACCGGGCTCCTCACCACCCACTGGGCTGTTCCTCTCTTGAGCCGTTTCCACCCCTGCCCAAAGTACCATGGACCTGACTCTGGGACCTGGTGATCACAACTGTGTGTGCAAGAAAGAACTTTGCAAATGTGATTCAGGTGAGGATCTGGGGATGGGAGGTCAGCCTGGGTTGTCCAGGGGTGCCCCAAGTGCAGTCATACGTCCCTTATGAGGAGACTTGACACCGACAGAGGAATTCACATGACCCCAGAGACAGTGACTCAGCCACAACCAGGTGTGACTGCAGCCATGGAAGCTGGGAGAGGCGAGGAGCAAGGGGCACAGCCATGGGCCACACCTCTGCTCCCCAGTGCTGCCTCTGGCTGACCTCCAGAAAGCACACCATGTGACCAGTCATTTGCACAGTGGCCCTGGGAGACTAAAACTCTGGGTCCTTAGGGGTGGCCTGCCCGCTCACCCTCAGGAAACCCGCACAGTTCAGTACTACTGTGGGCAGGACAGCCTGGGACCCTGGGGAGACTCAGCCCTGGGCACTGTGAGCCCAGCTAAAGGAATCTGCTCACTCCCCATCTGGTGTCCATCCACACCGTCAAGAACAGGTCCTGGAGCAGGGATGGATGGACAAAGCTGTCCTGCCACTTCCCTGTCCTTGCTGACCAAAGTCAGGGCACATTTTGCTCAGATGGACCAGGGACACTGGTGAGGACTCAAAGCCCCTAATCCCACTGACAGGTTACTGTCTTCCTGGCTGCCAGGGCAGTTCCTGCACTCCCAGTACCAGAGACAGCATGGACGTTGTGCTGGCTCCAGCCGTGGGTGCCAGGAGGAAGGGGAGCCCTGGAACTGGAGTGACGGATATAGCACACATGGGGAAGGAGTCTCGCTCTCATCCATCCTCAGACCCCAAGCACTCAGGCCCTGTATGGTGAGCAACCTCCAACCCCTGGACTACCCAGGCCAGCTGCCCGCCGCGGCCAGGACCCACCAGCCACCCTGCATAGCTCAGGACAGCTGGCCAGGTCACCTGGCGGCGGGGGAGGGGGCCGGCAGGACGACCGGGCGCGACCGGCGAGCGCAGGGCCCCAGCAGCAGGCGCACACGGCTCGGGTCGCTCCGTTTATTGGGGAACGGGCACTGAGCGCGGCGACGCTGGAGGAAGCCGGGGGCCTTTCCTCTTGAAGAACTTCCACTGGACCTTGATGGCGAGCATCCAGTCGCTGACGCAGAGCCTCTTACAAGCGGAGGTGCAGACGTGCGCC